ACCAACCTAGTGGCCTTCTGTGACCAGGTCACAAAATCCTTGGACACAGGTGTCGCAGTGGACGTAGTCTTTCTGGAATTTAGGAAGGCCTTTGACACTGTCTCTCACCCCATTCTCATTAAGAAATTAGGTGACTGTGGTGTCGATGCCTACACAGTCAGATGGGTCGCAAATCGGCTGGAAAGCCACACCTGGAGAGTGGTGGTGGATGGGTCTTTTTCGACCTAGAGGGATGTGGGCAGTGGGGTCCCTCAGGGCTCAGTCCTCGGGCCTGCACTGTTCAACATCTTCATCAGCGACTTGGACAAAGGGGTGAAAAGCACCTTGTTCAAATTCGCAGATAACACTAAGATGTGGGGAGAAGTGAGCATGCTGGAGGAGAGGGACAGGCTACAACTAGATCTGCACAGGTTATAGGGGTGGGCGGATGAGAACAGGATGGGATTCAATACTGACAAGTACAAGGTACTGCACCTGGGGAGAAAGAACCAGCAACATACCTACAGGCTGGGAAACTCCCTTCTAGTCAGCATAAAGGCAGAAAAGGGTCTTGGTGTCATTATTGATTCCAAGATGAATACGGGCCGCCAATGTGGGGACGCAGTCAGGAAGGCTAACTGCACCTTGTCATGCATCCACAGATGCATCATAAGCAGGTCCAAGGAGGTGATCCTCCCCCTCTAGGTGACACTGGTCAGGCCACAATTCAAGTACTGCGTTCAGTTCTGGGCGCCGCCCTTCAGGAGGGATGTGGACAGCATCGAGAGGGTCCAGATCCCCTCTCAGCTGTCAGATGGTAACGCAATTTGCCTTTGGGTGCCTAACAGCAACTGGAGGTTCCTGTGGGTCCACCTTGAACTTAGCCCGAGGAACACTCCCAGCTTCATGGCTGTCTCCTGTATCCTCCACAATATATGTGCAAGAGCATTTGAGGAATCAGGGCTGGCTCCAGACAGACCCACAGAGGAAAACCTTTGAACTTTGGATGGTATCTAAGCCAAAGTAGTGGTCCCAGCAGAGCATCTCAGACCGAACCACCACCAGACCGCTCTCGTCCGGGAAGCCTTGGCTGATTACTTTCTGGGATAACGTTCTGCCATGTGGGAGGGTGTGCAAGGGACCTTTGAGCAACTGTGAGCCCTTCATTAGCCATACTGTACCTTTAATGTGCTTTCCCAAAACATCACTAAACATCTTTCACAATGTGGGGCATTGAGATCCTGTGTTGGGAATTTGCAAGGGCTGACTAGGAGGGAGAAACATGGGCTGTTGGGTGGGTCTAGGTTGTGAGCCTGGACAAGTTGCGGCCTGGACAAGGACACAAGGGCAAGATTTCATAACTGCAAGCTTGATTTCTTCAAAAAAACTGTGCAAACTGCACTAAATGTGCTATTGTGCTAAATGTACTGTGGAGTGGTTTTGGGCCCATACAAGTTCCTTATTTAAAGCTCTCCCTCCTAGCTGAGAGGGTCCTTCAGGGTACTATAGCATGTAAGCAAGCCCCCAGTCTAAGCCATATGGCTCTACTGAGCTTGATAGCCACATCTCCATAGGTGGATCTGACTGTACACTCCTGGGGAGCTGGGTGGGGGCAAAGAGAAAACCAGGGACCCTCCTCCAATCTCATCACTGAAGTACATGTACCTTTCCGTGGCACTGTCTCCCTGCTGCTGGGGTGCAGGCACCTGGAAGGATGGTTGTGTTCCCCAAGGGCCACCTCTGCCATGGCGTTTGGTGGACCTGCTGCTCACACCTCTGCTTCCTGCTTAATATGCAGCCATGCTGTGGGGTTCAAGGTTTCAACCAGTCAGAGTGGCTGGAATATGAGGAGGAATGCACACAATGCACCCAGCCAGCCTCCCCTTGCTTCAGTTGACCATCTGGATGTGGGTGCTGGCCGGGGAAGACAGGCAAGAGGCTGCTAGTTTTCATGATAGCCTCAGCTGGAGTGAGGCTGGTGCCATTGTCTTACGTCAGGTAGGGGAGGATAGGCAGTTAGAGGTGCCTGCTGCCTTGCTGTTGTGGTGCATATTCCTATGCAGTGGTAGCCTGTCCAGAAAGGACTTGCACGATTATGCAAAGGACTGGAGAGACCCAGAGGTATGGAGGGCCAATTTCTGGACCCTCTTGGAGCCCTCCACTGGGCCCTATACCAGTTCCAGGAACTAGAGGTCTTGGGTCACAAAAGTCTCCCAGAGAACTCTCATCAGGTCATCCAACCAGCCCTACCAGCACTCATAGGCAGCAAGCCAGTTCTTAGTAGTGTTGCCTCTGTCTGTGGAGGACTCCACAGGGTCTTCTGGCATCTGATCTTACTGGTACAGACAAAGTTTTTGGCACAACACATCCTCTGAGCAGAAGTGTCCTTTCATGTCCTTGGGGAAGCATCAGCACTAGAATGTCCCAAGCTCTCAGGGTGTTTATAGACATGCTCCGGCAGATGGGGTGGGAGGAAACAAACACTTTAATTAAAGTGCCTGGAGCATCACATGTATCAGCATCCCTGAGCTGAAAAATGGCAGCAGGGCACTTTCAACTAAAGCTCATTGAACAAGCTTTAATTTAAAGCACCCTGCCACCATTTTTCAGCACAGGAATGCTGAAACATGTGATGCTGTAGTCTGCTGGAACACAGTAATTACCACACCCCAGCAGACTCAACTACTAGGCTGCTCCAATACGCTGTAATTACAATGCGTCAGAGCAGCCTCTCTGCACATGTACAGGAGCCCTCATAAGCTGGACCTGATTCTGAGGCAAAAACTTAGTAGACGCAACCTCAAGCGTGTTTACATAGCTGATAATGTGTGTCGGTTCTGGATTCCGACAAATTATCTGCAGCTGCACAGACAACAGTGAATTGACAGCAGCCTTTGAAATTGTTTCAAAATCCTAGATATTTTGGGAGAAAGCCTAAGTGCCTTGCTCTCCCAATGTGAGCTGCAACTGCTAGACAGGGCAGTCTGGGGTTGGAGCAGGGTGGGTAGATCAGATTTCCCGACCACTCTGCATGCATGAATTAACCCTTAAGTGGGGTTAACTAACTAGCCCAGTCACTGAGTACCTCAACTGCCCCATAAAGCCTTAACTAAGCAACTGGCCCATGTATAACTGCTGTGGTCCAAGCTGGGATCACCCCCAACCCTATGGTGGGTGGGTCTCTTGCCTTGGGGTTAGTACCACCCCACTGGACAATAAAATTCAGGTGGGTGCATAGACTGACCCTTGGAAGGGAACGTGGGGAAGGAGCTGAGAGTGCTGCATCCTGGGATGCTACAGGACCACAAGTTGCTCATATTACCTCTGTGGAGCAGACTCATGGTAGCTGAATCTCTGTTACTTAATATGAACTGGAGATACTCCTTGCCCAAAAAGTTCTAAGTTTGGTATGCTATGCATACACTTAGCACATGATGTGACATGGTCCTATGATGATGACAGAATCACAGAAAATTAGGGTTAAAAGGGACCTCAGGAGGTCAAGTCCAACCCCCTGCTCAAAGTGGGACCATTGCCAACTAGATCATCCCAGCCAAGGCTTTGTCTAGCCAGGTCTTAAAACACCTTCAAGGACAGAGACTCCATGACCCCTCTGGGTAGCCTGTTTTAGTGTTTTACTACCCTCTTAGTGAGAAAGTTTCTCCTAATATCTAACCTAAACTTCCCTTGCTGCAACTTGAGATCATTGTTCCTTGTTCTGTCATCTGCCACCACTGAGAATAATCTATCCCCTTCCTTTTTGGAACCACCCTTCAGACCCAGTTGAAGCCTTCATCCAGTTGAAGGCTGCTATTAACTCCCCCCTCAGTCTTCTGTTCTCCAGACTAAATAAGCCCAGTTCCCTCAGCCACTCCTCAGAAGTTATGTGCCCCAGCCTCCTAACCATTTTCATTGCCCTCTGCCTGACTCTCTTCAATCTGTCCACATCTGCTCTCCAGTGGAGGACCCAAAACTGGACACAGTACTCCAGATGTGGCCTTACTAGTGATGAATAGAAGGAAACAATCACTTCCCTCAATCTGCTGGCAACACTCCTACTAAGGTAGCTCAGTATGCCTGTTAGCCTTCTTCACAATGAGAGCACACTGTTGGATCAGATTCAGCTTATTGTCCACTGTAACCCCCCAGGTCCTTTTCTGCAGAGCTGCTGCCCAGCCAGTCAGCCCCCAGCCTGTACTGGTGCATGGGATTGTTCCATCCTACATGCAGGACTTTACACTTGTCCTTATTGAACCTCATGAGATTTCTTTTGGTTCAGTCTTCCAACTTGATGAGGTCTCTCTGAATCCTAGTCTTACCCTCCAGCATATTTATTACTCCCTCCAGCTTAGTATTAACTGAAAATTTGCTGAGGGTTATCACAGCAGCTGGAATAATTTAACATATTAGCCCTTGCTTTTCACTGCTATCCAAAAGGCAAATCACTCTGAAAAATGCCAGTTAGCATTTAAAAGTGTTTTTATTTCCCTTTACCACAAACATGGACAGTTTTCCTATTTCTGATCAGGCCAGAATTTAACACAGCAAGGATATCTGCACTGCAGTTTGTGACCCAACTGAAAAATATTCCTGCCAAAGGGGTTGGATAGTTTGGAAAAGATCCAAATATCAATGTTTATTCAAACCCAAAACCTTTTTGAGTTGTCCCCATCACCAGCAGCTTACTGTCTGCACCATGGCCATATAGTAATAATGTAATCTGTACTGTTTGTTTTCCCATATATCTGCCATAGGATGCTGCCCAAGTCTTCTAGGCCTAGAGTGCATTTTATCAGCATATTGTAGTTCCTCTTTATGTGCTCAATACTAAGGTGTCTAGCATCCTAATTAGCGTCAAATACCCTGTGTATACACATGCATAACTAAAAACCACTTTACTGGGTTATAATGATGTATGCCATCATACTGCAAAATTAAAGATACAATGAAACTTGAGATGTATAACTTTCTCTAGATTTCAGTGTAATTCTTATATTACTAGCAACTGAACTGGATGTTTCTGAGGACTGTGGCACTACCACATTTGTTATTAGAGTTCAAAGACCTAGACACAAACTAATATAGAATGTGGGGTGGAATTCGTAACATCAGTAAGGTCTTAGTTACTTGGGTAAAATTTCCAGCCAAAATGACTTAGACTCTTAGGAACATAGATCCCACAGACTTTCAATGTTCAGGGACTCCTGAAAATTGGAATTAATCTCTTAAATCATGTCAGCACTGGAAGAATTTTTACCTTCTGTCAATTTAACAAGACTAAGTAGAAAATACAGTTTTATAAAAATTGATCTGTTTTACACTTAATATCTTGACCAAAATCTGCTCTGTAATGGTAGATGAAGCTCTTCAGAAGTCACTGAGAGCAATTCCATGCCTCTTATAGCAAAAATTTAGTTCTCTGCTTCCTGTCATGGGAAAAGTTAATTTAACAGCACACATGAGAATGCAGAAGTCTGTAATTTGCGTTATTTATCACACATAGTAATAATGTTTTCTAGTATCGCAACCTATCAAAGGATTCCACAATAGGTATAAAATTATCTGCTCTGACTATATCATTAAACTTTTCCTCTGTTACTCTTTTCCTACTGAAGTCAAGTCCCCAAACTCCTAAGAGACTTACAGCAGATCTAATGTACTGCAGCATGTTCTACACCAGCTAACATACTTCTTGGTGCTAAATAAATGAATAAATAATCACCAACATCATGGCCACAAATGTCTGAAAATTAACATGACAATACTTTCAGAACCTGCTTGCTGACACGTAATCTACAGGGTACTAGATTACCAGAAAGGCATGATACAAGCTAGACCAGCACTTCCCATCTTTTCAAGTATGTACAAGATACCAAAGATCTAAGTCGTGAGACATGCCCAGTTTTTCAAGGCCTTTCCTGACATCTCACTAAAGTAAAGATATTGATCTTTTGCATGTTAAACTGCTGGTTTGTACAAGCTACTGCTTCTACTTCTGCCAAAGTACTGGCAGATGCAGTTGACAATGTAACTACTCTGCCATCTCCCCCTGCTGCGCTGAACCAAGGCTTGCTATAAAGGGCCAACACCAAGTAGAGCAGGCACTTGGCAACTGATGGGTATCATGACCTACAGAGCCTCAGATGCTTTTGTCAGGAAGAAGACATGATAAGCATTAGTCACAGAAACCTTTAATTTCTCCACATTAGAACTAGATGGGTTTCAGGAACTGGAAAAAGAATGCCTGAACTCAGATGGAAATTTACTATGCTATGCTGAGGGACCTTTACATATAGACAGTGCTCAATCTACTTCCATTAAGTCCTGAACAGGACATTTTTTTCTCAGCCAATTGTATCAGATAGCTCTTTTAAAAACATGTTTAGCTACCTGGACAAAGTCTATCAGCATTGGGCCCACAGATCCCCTAGGAAGTGCATGACTTTTATACTGGAAACTATGTCCTATTCTGTAACAGGAGATGTCTTGTAAAAGCACAAGCCATTCGCTGTTCCAGGTGTACAGTGTGTAAAAATATCTTTCCCACCAAAGAGCCTACAGAATAATACATTTGTATTCTAATAAAGTAATTATTAAAATAAGTAATTATTGAAATAACCACATCAACTCCCAGTCATTAAAATCCTTCTAAACAGAGCGGCATGATGGCTTAGGCTATTAGAAAACTTGGCAGCCATCCAACGCCTACAATAGCTTCTAATTAATTGATCTCACCTCTAATCTGCTATTGTTAGCCTAGTGCTGATCATTTGTTTGGCCTACAGATCCTATTGCCCCTTTCATTTGATTGTATTTGTTACTGTACCCTCTCTATCTCTTTCAATTAAGCACAGGTTAAGTGGTTCAACCGCAAGAGAATAGGAGATAATGGCACCAATCAAAGTAATCTCTTTAATTTGCTAAATGGATTACAGGGAAACCCCAGCCAAAGTGAAGTCATAGCTGGTGGCCTTCACTTGAACTATACACGAAGAGTATCTAATTATTAACCCACCACATGCCAAACTTTATAGATATATAATAAAATGGCACAACACAGATACTAGCAGGGATGTTCTCATTACAGTGCTCTCCATTACAAAATTATATCCCCTGTAAAACATCTACTTTGGCACCTTCCCAAATACACCATGTACCTTCCTTTCAAGTGCAACACACATCTAGATATAACAATCAAAACACAGCACTGCATTCAAAGCAGGCAAGTGGATTTATAATCTCTTTAAGGACATGCTCATGGTAGACTTCATTTTTCATATTTGTACTATAAATGCAAATTCAGTTCCATAGTCACTATTGCCTTTGCTTTTGCTGACTCTGTGGAAGTTTTAATAGTAAACAAGCTTTGTCCTTAAACCTTAAGTGGGATCTTTTTTTACCTCTCCCCCTTCTTCTAAAGCATTTTGAGTGAGCTGTCTGCCAAAGAAGCTACACGACCAGTTTGGCTGAGTGTGTCCTTGGCTAATCAGTCAGGCAGTGAATTTAAGAATGTGAGCTGCATAAGATAGAGGGTCATTTCTGTACAATGACAAGAAGATCAAGGGTACTGGAAGGAAATAAGGTAGGAGGAGGAGACAGTAAAATTTTCACAGCGAGTAAAACTCAGTTTATCCAAGAGACTGGAACTTTTATAAGTAATCTGGCCACTCTGCCTTTTAAGACTAAGATATCTTAATTACTGGCAAAACAGAGGTTGTTACCACATCTAAATACATTGCAGCTGGCAGAACTCAACATGCATCAGGCATTAAAGGTTTCCCTTGCCAACCATGGGTTTGAGTATCCACGCTTAATATTCTAAATACCATTTTGGCTACCATAGTATACAGTTTTGAGTAACCACGATTTTCCGTGGCCATGCATCAGCCTGCCACCTGCTATTTTTCCCATAAGCCTTTCGTCTTGCCCACCATGGTTTTGCCAACCACAGGATCTTTCAGGAACCTAACCTTTATAAGGCAGTAATAGACAAAGGTGTTGCTTCACACTTCTGTTATAGGACAAAATTACCTTAGCCTCAAAGAAAACCCATTTGAGTTAGATAAGTACAGTATTATGTCCATTCTACAGATGGGGAAAAGGAGGCACAGATACACAGGGGCAACAACCTCACCTGATATAAATTACCGCAGCTCAACACTGAGCACATTAAACAACATGTTTAAAGGCTTGCAATAAAACTGTTAAACAGGAACAGACTATAACTTTTACATTTTCAGTCTGTCTCTTAACCTTAACACCAGCTTTCTCTTCTGAAAAAGGTCTGAACATTTTACATTATAATATCATGAACAACAAATCCCAGCCCCAATCAAATTTCAGAGGTCTAACCTATTTGCACACCAAACTTTTTACAGTGGGTTACTGTTACTTACCCTTTTCTACTGACCACTTCTGTGGTGTTCACAGTTTCAGGACATTTTCATTCTCGTGTTAACACAAGTTGAATCCAGGAAGGAAGCGTATTCAGGTGATTATCCAAAGTTCCATAAGGCTGCAAACATAGCCTACATGTGATCCAATAGGATGTCAGGCTTTATTTAACTTATTTATTGTTTTCTATAGTAATTTGACAGTAACTAGGAATTATTTTATGTTCCAAATACATGTGCTTAAAGTCATGTACATACTTATATGTATTTCTGAATCAGTGGATATATGTACAACATTATGCTCAGCAAAATCTTTCCAACAGCTAATTGTATTGCCAGTACTGTTCTACTCTGGCTTTACTGTAGAATTACAAATATCACTGGAGACTCATCCCGCCACCAGTCTTGTTGAAGTGGATGTAATTATTCCTATGAGACTTCTTGCATAAGGAAAATCCAACTAAAGACAAGTAAGTATAGCAGGCCCTTATCCCTGTAAATGACAACTAAACCAGTACGCTCCCCTGCTTCTTCTTCAATAATACTGAGTATTCAAACTGACCCAGGGAGTTTTTTTACTATTTTTGCTTTCAATATACTCTTAGGAGACAAGTTTTCTGACAACTTCTTCCACTGTATTTGCATATATAAATTTGACTTATTTATTTCCACCCACATTTCTAAACCTTTTTAGACTAAACAAACTCTTTGAG